AGTAGAAGTGGAATTAGGACTCAGTAGACCTGGATTCAAGTTTCCACTCAACCATGGAAACTCTTTGGTGGAACAACTTAATCATCTCACATGCCTTGAAAAGCTGAACAGAGTTGTCATCAGATATGACTTGACGGCACATAGCACAAATACATTGCCTAGACTGAGATTTTGTATGCCTATGGACTTGTAATTAATCACAAAGGACCAATAAAGAAAGGTGAATAATTGGAATTTAATTCAAAATTGTAAATGGTGGCAACTATGACTTCCATTCCATTTAACCAAAAACTCTTTTAAGTCAAATTTTAAATCCTCAAAAACTCCAAATCTGGTCTTTCTGCTATTTTGTAAAGTATTTGTAGCCTGGTAAATTTTTGACATGGCTATACAAAGAGCAAAGGTACCCAGTATGGTAATTAGCTAACTACTGGTTATGTTTAGCATATATTTTTAAGAAGTAAATTTTACAGAATCTCCTTACAACATAAATCATTCAAATGAAAATGGTATACATTCATTAGTAGCTATCTGTAACCAATAAATTTCAGATCCGTTTTCAAAGAACAGAGACATTTAGAATTCCGAAAAGTGGTAAAAATTTGCAGAGAATAATGATTATAAGGCTTTAGTTACTTTTTGCTACCTGCATGAAATTAAAGCAAAATACCATGTTTTCCTAAAAGTAAGACAGGGTCTTATATTAATTTTTGCTCCAAAAAAACGCATTGGGCTTATTTTCAGGGGATGTTTTTTTTTTTTTTATGTACAACACTCTACATTCATGCCAACACAGTTGTCTCATCTTCTTCTGGTTGCTGCCGAATGGTGGAGGGCAGGGTTTCACTTAACGGGGGTTTATTTTTGGGGTAGGGCTTATATTACGAGCATCCTGAAAAATCATACTAGGTCTTATTTTAAGGGAAACAGGGTACTATTTGAAGATTTTAGGAGTTGTCTATAGGAATAACCAACAGGTTGTGCAAGTGAGTAGGCATCACTAAAATTTGAAATGTCTGATTAAATATACAATAGTAGCACATGTCACTGATGTGGTTGATGTTACAGTTAAACTACTTATATATAAATATTTCTTGGCAAGAAGTAAAAATCAGTACAGTGGTGCCCCGCATAGCGACGTTAATCCGTTCCAGGATTAACGTCACTATACGAAAACATCACTGAACGGAATAAAAAACCCCATAGGAACGAATTAAACCCTGTTTAATTCGTTCCTAGGGGGCAAAAACTCACCGTTCAGCGAAGATCTTCCATAGGGCTGCCATTTTCGCTGCCTCGGTAAGCGAGGCGCGAAACGGGCGAAGGGCTGCGCTTGTATTGGAACAATAAAATTGTGTCCTCGGTCATTCCTCAACAAATTAAGGCTTGATCTTTCACTTTTTGAGTAATAAACATGAATGTATGAACCAGATCAGTAGTGTTTGGTTGCATTTTGCCCTAGGAAATTTATCTTGTTAATTTTCTTGGATGGAAAGTTTCAGGTGAATTAAGAGGTGGCTGAGTTTGTAAATTTCCACATTTGTTGTTCCCAAGAGATACTATAGGTCTGTTGTAATAGTAATATTCTGTTGAAATGACTACAGTAACACATAACACTCAAGAGTATTTTTTCAAAGCTTCAGTCAGCAGACAGCAAGGTTGTGGAACATAGGGAAGCTGCTTTCTACCCTGTTTCCCCCAAAATAAGACCTAACCTGAAAATAAGCCCTAGTATGATTTTTCAGGATGCTCATACTTGTGGAACATAGGCAAGCTACTTTCTACCCTGTTTCCCCGAAAATAAGACCTAACCTGAAAATAAGCCCTAGTATGATTTTTCAGGATGCTCATAATATAAGCGCTACCTCAAAAATAAGCCCAACCTAAGTGAAACCCCACGCTCCACCATTGTGCAGCAACCAGAAGAAGTTGACATGACTGTATTTGAATAAATGTAGAGTGTTGTACATGAATAAAATAAATGCATTTTTGGAGCAAAAATATGAGACCCTGTCTTATTTTTGGGGAAACATGGTACCTGATCAGACTATATGTCCAGATCAGTTTAACTTTCTCTTAACTGACAGTAGCTCTCTAGAATCCTGAGCAGAGTTCTTTTCCATCACCTGTGAGATGGTGCTTCATGGAATCCAGAACTTATGTGCAAAAAACCAAATATTTGAGTAAGCATGTACAATTTCACTGCATGCCAGTGATGTGGTTGCTGTTACAGTTAGGCTAGTTTCATATAAATAGGTGCAAAACATACATTTTTCTCATGAGTTGTGGGCAACATTTTAGCAGAAGAATTCTAGGAACCTAATGATCCTGCTTCTTTTGGTCAGTTCTCCATAAAAGACTCCACTGAGGCTAGTCTGTTGGGAGAATGAGAAATGGGTACCAAAATTCGAATCTCTGCAAGGACAAAAAGGTGTATAACAAATTAGAAATTATAAATCGCAGAGTAAAGAGTTAAGCAGCTCATTACACCCAGATCTTCCTGAGGCTCTTGGTTGGTTTGGGGTTTCCTTTCTCTAAGGAGTTGAGGGAGCACTTAATTCAGATCAAATCAAGTTGACATGTGGTGAAGGAAATACTTTTCTATGTAGGTACAATCACCTTCTGGCTGAAATGTCAAGTATTAACAAAATATTCCTGCATAGGAAGGCCACCAACCTCTAGATAAAGGGGACTATAATCTCCATCATTCCAAACAGTATGTCTCACCACAGATGGTGGCTGTAATTTAATCCATTTGGAAGAGCTAGATTAGAAAAGGCATCTTCACAGAGTCCTCACAATTGATGCCCCTGCAGATCAAAGAACAGCAATACCAGAATAGCTTACCTTTCTCAGTGCTTTCTTTCTTTAGTCCCTCTTTCCTTAGTATTTGCTTTGCAAAAATCTCTGCTGTCTGGAAATCACAAGGCAGGGCAGTCGTGTGTCACAGTTCATGACATCAAAGTAAGATACATTTGCATTTAGAGTGTGAATTTTAAACCACTTGTTGCAGACAATCTTGAAAATGGTAATGACACAGCTACACCATCTCTCTGACAAGCTCCTTTTCTACGTGAATGCTCAGATTGGCTGGTCAGCCTGGTCCAGCCCTGCTTGACAGGTTCCCAAAAGCTTTACTTACTTTCATTTATTATTTTAACCTGAGAGTATTGAGGAACTGCACAGAGACTCATTTGGGGTGGAGAAGAACAGAACGAACAGCACAGAGCAGAGCCTCCCAAATCTAACTACGCACCTTGGCCTCTCTTGCTTAAGGACTGTGCAAGCAGCTTTGTACATAATCTATAGATTTCTCGGAAGAACCTGACCATAAAGAGAGCTGCCAATCACTCACTGATAGAGGAAAGTGGAATATTAACTTTCCTTTAGTGTGGTCCAAGGATCAAGCAAAATATTCCTTGAGACTGGAGTGAACTTTCTTTCCTCCTGCCGCTACTGTGATTCCAGCAGGATTTTCAAGACTGAAGAGAGAACACAAGAGAGTACAACAGTTGCCGCGTGAGCACAGCTCTCACATCAAAATCTCGATCCAAGAAGCAGGACAAGATGAAGGTTAAGGTGAAGGTAAAACATGCTCTGCAAATCTATGTGTATGAGTTTGAATTGGAAGTTCTTCTAGTCAACCTCAGTGCATCTTGGCTGCTGCTCACCATCCCATGTTGAAATTGCAGTGTTTTAAACTTGCAGTTCCTTCTCCCTGTAGTTACGGTAACTTGCATGGTTTATTTGTCTCCTTATCATACAGCCATCCTGCTTTCTCTGTTGCCACAATGATATGCTGAAGCAGTAAAGAAAAGTAGAAATGCCCCAGGCACTTGTTAATCTAGATGTAATAGTAGTTATAAGAGATGAATTGCCTTTTTAAAACATGTTTGTGAGGGCTCAGTACTTCAAGGGGTAACTACGGGTTGAGATCTGCTGCTTGCATTGATGAGTGTGGAGAAGAGAGCTAAGTGCCGCATGCATGGCTTCCAAGTGCATTAAGATGTTCTAGGATTGCAAAACAAGGCGAGCTGTCTATTCTAAGTAGGTGGCGGAAGGAACACTCCTTCAGAACAAGCTACTAAGCAGCACTTGTTTCAGAAGGGCACATTTCAGAAGGATTGTTGTTTCTTGCTGGCAGGTTTCTTTCATTGTTTCAAGATGTACTATCAGCAGATGTATAAAGGGTGAATCTTTATCATCACTTTATGGCTCAATACATGGAAAGCATCCCCTGCTAATTTGTGCAGACTTGTTAAAAGGGGGGGGGGCTTGCAGGATGAACAGCTGGCAGCCTTACTTTGTATTCAAGTTGCCAGAATTAAATGTAGAGAAACCGTTTGTTCCTTAAACATAAAGAGTACCAAAAGGATGCCAGACTTGTTACATGGCAGAGGGAGAAGGACAGTAGCTGAATAACCAGTGGAGGAACTGGGGTCAATTAGTCATGGAATAGGCATCATCCTTCTTGATCTTTTTGATATTTTTTAAGATCACTGGCAATTCTGCTTGCAAACTCATTTTGGTTTCAGGTTAAAAAAAAAAGGTGTGTGATACCATGATTCTAGTCTTAAATATACTTATTAGATGGTAAGGCCCTATTGGTGCACATTACATATGAATGCAAAACACCAACTCTGACATACCCGTATTTTTCGCTCCATAAGACGCACCTTTCCGTAAGATACACCAATTTTTTAGGAGAAGAAAACAGGAAAATATAATCTGTTTTCTTCGTTCCATAAGACGCACAGACTTTCCACCCCCCTGTTTTGTGGGAAAAAAGTGTGTCTTATGGTGCAAAAAATACGGTAGTTAGTACACTTAATATCAAATATGTAATATAAGCTGAGGGGGAAAAGTGGGAGGAGGGGTGTTATTTCAAAGTATTACATTGTGGTCTGTCAGTTGGCTGTTGTAAAGGCAACATGGTAAATAAAATGTTAGACTGGAGCCCCTTCATTTATTTATTAACATATGCAAATAGTACAACGATCATGTTTGAAAAAAGTGGGAATAGCAATGGTAAGAAAAACTTTTAAGACATTATAATGACCTTCTCCAACATGCTGCTTTCAAGGTGTTTTTGACAACAGGTTCCAGTGACTTTTCAGCAATTCCCAGTTCAGCAGTTCTGAATGTTTGATGTTGAAAGGCTGTTAAGACTTGAAATCTGAGACACCTGGAAGACAGGTTGGGGGCAGGTGGCCTTGTAATAATCCAGGTTACTGTTAGCAATGTTAAGCAGTGCCCTGAACCTTCATATCAATATGAAATGAAGATGCTCAGTCTTTCTATAAACTGATTTACCCACTAATTCCTTTTCCCAAACTCTTATTGTATTAGGCAAGTTGGTCATGAAGGCCATATTCCATATCATTTCATCAGTTGTGAACTGACTAACTTTCTTGCTTTTAACATTCACTTCTATGGAACTGATCGTGTTGTACACCATTTTTCCCAGTCTGATGCCCTCCACATATTTTGAAATACAATTCTCATAATGTCTTATCACTTTTCCTGTTATATGGGACCTGTGGTCATCACAGTCCAAAATATTAGGAGGACACCAGGTAGTTGTGCATCTTCCTGTGAACAGATTAATCACCATTTCAGTACTTTCCCCCAATGTAGCTCAGTAATCAGAGTAAACCAGAGTAATGAACAACAGATCTTTTAAAAAAACACCCTTATTTTATTATGTATGTGCAGACCTTTAGTTTAGTTTAGTTTAGTTTATTTGATTTATACCCCGCCTATTTGGCCCAACGGACCACTCTATTATTTTATAATATTGGGGCATATCCCCAAAATGCAAGTTATATTTGGGGTCATGATTTAGATTTATAACCAATATTCTTTCACACGTTAATTATGAGGAGGCTTTGTTCCCCTTTGCCTCCACAATTGATAGCACCGTATGTTTGTTAGTTGAAAAACACTTTACACAGTCAAGAGCTATCACTTACTCCAAGGAAGAAAGAGAGAGGTTGAAAAAGAAATAATGACTTTATATGGCCTTAATCTAGTTTCAGCTGAGCTTCTTTCTCATCCTGCATTGCCGTTCTAAGGGTTATTTTAGAATTAAATGGTTCCAAGCACTATTTTATTCATCCTCTGTGAAGCTATAACACTGAAAGAGATTGGTTATGAATAAAAGTTAAGCACCTGCATGAAATTTGTAAGGTCTGTAGCTCTTTCTGAAGTACTTGTTCTGACAATTTAGCTGCACAATCCATTCTTTTTGGACCGTTGCTCTGACACAATATTTAGTTTAATGTCCTTGATTTAAGACTTCCAGGACACTTCAGGACACAACTCCCAGGATTTTCCAAGAATTCCACAGGCAGAATTCTGGAGGTTCCAGTCCATATACACACAATTGCAGACACCTACGTTTGGCTTACCTAGAGAATGGCCTACCTCCAAGGCTGCACTGTCTTCTTAGATCATGTGACAGCCTGGGTGGTTGACCTAGATGCACAGGATGCTGGGAATTGTAGTCTTGCTGCCTATTAGGCTCTACAGAGGGTGGGTCCTGAAGAATTAGAATTCCAAGGCAGTATTGTGGCAACTTTCATTATTATTTATAGTGAACAACAGGAAGCAAAGCTGGTGCAGATTTGGAAGTAGGCCCTTCTCTAGAGGAGTGAAATGTAGGTGTCTGCAGCCCAGGTTCTGTGGGCTAGAATTCCCAGGAGAATTCTAGGAAGTTGGAGTCCAAAACAAAAAAAAACCCACACAAATTCCTAATCATCATCTGGACCAACAAGCAAGAGGCTATTGGGGAGATTTAGGTTATAAGGTACTTCAAAGCTGACATTTCTTAAATTACATTCCCTGTCCAATAAAGTACAAACAACAACCAGCTCTCCATTCAGGTCAAGTAACAGAACCACATCTATGCTTGGGAATGATCTATTGAAGCATCAGTCCAGAAAAGGAAATGAAAGATCACAACTTGTTTCCTGTAGAACACAACTTTCATCAGTGACTACTTATCTGTTGTTTATAGAAGTCAGCTTCCTTTCCTATAGAAAATATCTTTGCACGGATTCATGTACTGTATCTCTTCAGCTGGCCAATAGTGAGTATAGTACATGGCTGGATAGCTCAGTGAGTTGAAGTGCCTGGCTGTGGAGTTTGGTCCAGATTTCAGTTTCCACGGTGCTTCTTAGGAGCAGAGCTAGCCAGTGTAGCCTTGGGCAAGCTGCACAGTCCCAAGGTGTTTCCAGGAAAGGGCGATGCTACATCACTTAGAGTGCTCACTACCTAGAAAACCCTGAAAAAGTGCTTCCATGTAGGAACTGGCCGCAGAATGGTGTCTGATGTTATAATGCCTCACAGTGAGGTTGGCACACTCAAATTATGACAGTTTCAAATGTGCTTGTTGGACATATTTAACTTTTAAAAATCGCATCTGATATAATAATAATAAAAATTTCTGGGTCTGACTGATTTTAAGGCCAGTCAGTTGGCAACCTGATTTTCTCCTCAGACTAAATAGGCTTGTGGTATAACAGTCATGGAATAGTAATACTTGTGTTTGTACTGTAACCTAGTTTTTTCCAGTTCACCAGTCAATTTCTGAACAATGCTTAATTTGTCAGTCTTTGTGCGGACTTGAATTCAGGGAAATTAATTCCAGAGCTACTAAAGACATGTTATCCCTTTGCTTATCAGTCTTTAATTAGTGTTCTACATCAAACAGCTCTGACTTCCGGTTTAAAATCAGCTTTGTGTCAATTTCTAAAATGAGAATGATTTAGGATAAGAAGCTCAAACAATGAGATCAAATTAGGGCAGAATAAATAGCATATAGCAGGCTGGTACGCATGACCTGTCTGCCAGGCTTCCCCTCACCCTCCAAGGCTAAAGTTCACAGAAAGAGCCGGTGTCGTGGCAAGCCTACATCTGGGTGATACTGCTTCTGACTAGGTGATGTGTGGCTCAGTGTTTACCTACATAAAAATATTACCTAACTTAGGAAGCCTCCATATGATACTCACATAGACAAGTTCTAACCACTCTTCGGACAGAAATCACTATTTGCCCATTTTCTACCCAATCTTAATTGATTATTGAGATGTTTCTGGTTTTGGCCTTTTCTGCTCCCTTTTGTCATCATAACCATGCTGAGTTGGTTCTGTCATTGTTTACATCCTTATGTAATCCTCCTTGCTAATCATCTAGTTTTAATATTAAAAAACTAAATGTCAGGATAAAGATCTAGCCTAATCTACTAATGAAAGGGTGCCTGTAAGAATGTCACAGCCGTCATGCAAGGAGTAGGGGGAGAATAGCATACAAATAACAGAGCAAATTAATAATTACAATAATTACATGTCATCAGGTCAGCTCAGACTTATGGCAACCCTTTCCACAAGGTTTTCTAGGCATAGAGTACTCAGAAGTGGTTTACCAGTCTCTTCTCTGAATGGCCCTATGGGATTTTGTGGGTTGCCCAAGGCTACACAGGGTGGCTTGTCTCCTGCGAGGTACAACGGAGAACTGAATGACCCACAGCAACATCATCAGTGATTTTCAGAAATCCATAATAGTTTAATAATCCATAGTCTATTTTGCTTTGAAGAAATTAATACATTTTAAAATTTAGAAATTGTGACTGATTAGATTTGACAAACATTACATGATTTACTGTCAACAAAAATATGAAGGTGAAGTTATGATGTAGTTTAAAAAGGAACCCTAAACTTGTAAATAAGCTGTGGTTATTTTCCAAACTCCCTGGAAAAGACCCTGATGTTAGCAAAGTATGAAGGCAAGAGGAGAAGGGGATGACAGAGGATGAGATGGTTGGACAGTGTCACCGAAGCTACCAACATGAATTTGACACAACTCCGGGAGGCAGTGGAGGACAGGAGGGCCTGGCGTGCTCTGGTCCATGGGGTCACGAAGAGTCGGACACGACTGAACGACTAAACGACAATGACAAAACTTGTAAATGACCATGAGTAATTATGCATACTACCAAAGAATAATTCATATTTTTTAAAATCTTTATTTGGGAAGAGTTAAGATGATTTATTGGTGATTTATGTATTTATTTCTTATTATTTATAAATTTAAATTATGCATTAAAATAAATTAGAATATTTGTTTGTTTGTTTTGTTTGTTTGTTTATCAAGGGAAGGGTAAACCACTTTTCAGTATCCTCTGCCTTGAAAACCCTGAGCATCCTGCTCTTTGCACCAGTCTCAGACAAAGGCTTGCTGGTGCTTCTCCACTTTCTTGTTCTTTTGTCCATTTGGCAGCTGAGCACGGAGACTTGTCATCTCCCCCTCTGGCTGGAGTGCCCAGAAGAGTAGGAAGGTGGAAAAGTGCCAGCCAGGATTCTTCTGAGATTGGCGTGACAAGCAGGATACTGGCCATGCGTGCTGTGTGGCAATCCGTAAGTGGACAGATCGGTTCGGACAGGCAGGAGTGGGAATCCTAGCCACCTGGGTCCAGGATATGTCATCTCTAGTCAGAGACGACTTAATGGCACATTGTAGCAGTAGCAGTAGCAGTAGCAGTAGCAGTAGCAGTAGCAGTAGCAGTAGTACACTGGAACATTATGGCTGCATTCAGAAATAATAATTAACCACAGCTTATTTTTTAGGCAATGGAACATATGAAATCTTAAGCTTATATATTCCTCCCTTGCCGCTTCAGCCGGACTGCACAGAAGACACTGGAACTTTCCACAAGCTTTGGATAGACTGTGGTTTATGATCCCTGTATTGGAAACCAGACAATCTGTGGTCATATATACAGTTTTGGGTTGTTGCTGTTTTTAAACAACCCAATATCGTACTGTAAGTTGTGAGATCATCTTGTTTCAACAAGTCATAGATCAGATAAACCAGTTTATTCGGTGCAAACAACACTAAACAGCAGATAATCAAAAACCGAAAGAAATATCTCCTGAGAAGAAGGAGGATGAATATTTATTGCACAAGTCAGCAATGAGGTTGCTTCTGGCAGCAGATAGAATGGAAATCCCTGTACGTTGGGAAAACCCTTGGGGACCCATAATCAGGTGCTTGAAAGGTATTGGAAACACAGATACTTTTGCACATACCCAGTCTCCATTTACTGTATTATGCACACTACCAAGCATGTCCACTTGCATTGCGCAGCTAAAGACATATTTTAGTTAAGAAATATTAACCATTTTTTTTAATTACCCCAAAGTGATGACCCTCCGATGCAACTATCTATGTCAAGTTTCATGTATCCAGAGCAACCATTCTTAGCCTCTCTCACACTCCCTTTTTTGGCCAGGGACATAAACACAATATGAAAGAAATACAAGCTGAGTCAGGATTGTATAACAAACTTTACAAGGTGGTGTGTGAAGAATTGGTTCCAGTCTGTGGCCTCCTTCAAATGTCCTACCTCCCCTCAAGGGGGGGGGCAAATGCCCCCACCCTGGTTGACGATGGCTGATCTAGAGTAAAGGAAGTGTTTGTGCTATAGTGGAAACAGGTTGTTATTCTCTCTCCACCACAGCACACAATCAGTAGTGTCAGCTTCACAATTAAGAACCCCTTACTTCCACCCAATTTTTTTTGCTTTCTCTCCATAATGTTCTTCCCACACTCTCCTCTTTCTGATTTCCTTGCTTGCATCTGGCTAAGGAGATGTAGATATTCAAGAGGCGTAGCTTTCCCAGGAATGGGAATTCCATCAAGTTTGGGATCCAGCTTCAGATGTCAATCAATACTGTATTTGCAAAACATGCAAGTGACATCAGCCAAAGCAGTTACCCTGGACAAATTGACATAGGTTGGATTGCAATCCCTAAAACAAAGTGACCTTTTGTCCTAGCACTGTTTGCTCTTGCTCTGACACAAACATAGTCTTCAGTCTCCCCTCATCCCTGCTCTCCCAACTGAGGCAATACATGAAGTATGTGAGGTTCTACAAAAAAGTATTTATGTGTATTATTTATTATTATTGGTTTTCTAAAATAAAAATGGCAATATATGCCATTATGCATATACCATTATGGCTGAACTATTATAATTCTCCTTCTCCACATCGTCACCACCACACTTGCAAAGACGAACTTATTCTGTGACTTATTCCTTTTGTATTTTGGGGGATGAGAAATAAACGCCACATCCCAAAACCTGACCCATTTTGAACAGCAGTTAACTACTTATCACCCAAACAGAAGGTAATTGTCGTGGCTGTTTTTTTTGACAAGTTCAATGGGTATTCATTGCTTGGAGCCCAAAGCAATCCAAATGCTTACGAGAAATGTGGGTTCCAGCTGAGCGTGAGCATTTAAGTACCTGCATTTCAAGATGGAATTGGTTTGCTATCCCCCTGAGGAGTACCATAAAGTCCAGGTTTCTGCACTTATTACAGTACTGTGCGTTGTACTCCTAGACACCAGTATTTAAAAGAAACTGATGGTCAGGTTCCTTTCCTACAATTGTATCATCATCATTATATGCCATCAAGTCATTGCCATCTTATGGAGTCCCTGATAATTTTTTTCAGGTATATGAAATGTTCAAGGAGTCATTTACCATAATCACCCCCAGTGACTTTCCATGGCCAAATGGGACTTTGGAGCCATATCATTGGAGTCCTGGCCTACCACTCTATCCACTACACCACATTGTCTCTCTTTCATGTAGGATTCAGGCAAAATGTTTTAGACACAACAGTGGGGCACAGCACATCTAAAGTGGGATGAAGGAAAGGGCTTTTGGCTTTAAATTTCTGTCAGGTATGTGCATTGTATGTTTTTCTTTGCTAAAGGATGCCTACTGTGGCTTCTGCACTGCAGAAGCGGTGTCCATGCAGGTATCAGTATTGCATTCAACCACAATCCTAAATGATCATTCACTGTTCCATGACAAGACTCACGGAACAGCCAATAATGTCAACTATTTCCCTAGCCTAAAGGAATAAATGAGTCATTGGCTTGTATTTACCACACTGATGGCATTTTGGATTAAAAAAAGGAGAGCAGTAGAAGTAGCTACCAAACAGCAGCCATCAAAGTCATGTTCTAGTGCACTGGTTCTTAACCTTGGGTTACTCAGGAGTTTTGGACTGCAACTCCCAGAAGCCTTCACCACCAACTGTGCTGGCTGGGGTTTCTGGGAGTTGCAGTTCAAAAACATCCGAGTAACAAAGGTTAAGAACCTAGGTTCTAGTGCTACCAATGGTCAGCTGAGAGAAAGAGGGTTCTGACTCTCTTGACTGCTAGCATTCAGGCTGGCCTTTGCGATGCAAAGCTTCGCATCCCTTTTCTTGCTGGCAACATGGGCAAACCAGTGTGGAGAACTTTATTTTTCATTTAAAAATAGGAAAAAGAAAGCCAAATTGCACAAAAGAAATCTTTTAGATCAAGAAGCCAATTCCATTTAAATGAAAAAGTCGAGCCTGCAACAATTATAAGCAAAGAACAGGCAAAGAGTTCACCACACCTAAAATAAGAAAACTAGCTCATCTATTGTAATTACTTGGAGGACCTAAAAATAGAAAGGTTTCTGAGCTCATGTGGAGGGCTATTCTCACTGGTATAATAATGTGTTGAAAACTCCAGACCCATGGCTTGCTTAGTCAGTAACACCTCCTCCAAAACAAAACCAAGACCAATATACAATTGGCTAAATGCATAGTGGAAGAGCAATTGCATAGGCCTTCTGCTCATTTGGGGCTCTGGTAGACTTCCTGTCACATGCCCATTCTTGCACTGGTTACAAGACTAGTCACACTAGTTGTCATGCAACAGGAAGTCTGCTGGTGTGTGTTTGTGTGTGTGGTGCTTTCATAGTTTCCCTTTTGCTCCACATTTAAGCACACTTAAGCAGTAGGATATTGGGCAAAGGTTTTAGAAAGATAGATATTCATATAAAATCAAAGTGTTAATTTAGCCTAGTCAATCAAATATGTATACTTCATTGAGCATTTATAGATGCATGATTCTTTTTCAGTACTTTTGTCTCCAATTAGTGAAAACTAGCTCTAATTTATTTTAGCCACCCCCAGCTTTTCTTGATTACTTATTCCACAACTGCTGTTGTTTTTTTGTTTACTTACGTGCTTCTTTCTCTGTCACAAGAGGCAATGTTGTTATACAGGCTTGAAAGAATTGTTGAGGGTGTTCTGTAACATTTATGGTCAAGTTGTGTTACCACAAACATAGCTGGACTGATTTCCATTTCTTCTGCCTCTTTGCCAACTGTAACATGCCCACCTACTGAATTAACAAGACTGATGGTTGGAGCAGTATTTTTATTGTTTCCCTTTCATATCTTTCTATTTTTTACTTTCTAATTTTGTTGGAATCAGTTGAAAGCTTCAACTGATCAATGGAATTAACTATACAGTTTACACATTCACATGTTGCCAAAGACAACCAGGAGACTACCAAGGCCCCTTCTGAACAGCAGTGTGAGAAATAAATAGTTTTGTATTTGGATTCTTTTGCTTCTTTTTGTAGGTGATGTATTCTTATCATATTCCTGCTCACCCTGTATTGCAATAAAACACTTCATGTGAGAGAAGTACAGTCTCTCTCTAAGGCCTTGCTCCTCTACTGTTGCTGTGGCCATCCGTGAGTATGAATGTGATACTAGACCAAGAAGAAACCCACTGAACAAATTCTCTGCAGACAGCAACAAGGCAATGAGCCTCATGAAACAGCTGGTCACATACAGGGGTTGTTCGTCAGATGTCAGTGTTGGACACATGGATGTTGAACATGGAGATAGCTGGACCGTATGACATCAGAGACAATGGTGTAATCTCACCCGTTCTATGCATATTCCCAGCATTCTTCTCTACTGGCTATTCCAGTTAGGGCTGATGTGTGTTGCAATCCAAAAACATATCTCTGTGTGTGTGTCTGTGCTTTGCCAATCACCACTATTGGTCTGTACAGCTTTCTCTGAGAGAAAAGTAGCCCTCTTCATGCACTATTGCCACAGTGGGCAGTTCTGCATACGTAGAACAAGGAGTTGGACATTTCACCCACCCCAGTACAAACCATGCTGCTGAAGCAGAGAATTCCTTCTCTTTCCAGGCCACTGAGTGTTCTGCCTTCCCTTGCTCTGACTCCTTTAAGTCCTGAAGGATTAATACATGCAACTTACACAGAGGTCTTTTTTGCTGCTCTGTGACAGAACATGTGCTCACATAAAAAGCAAATACAGCATCTGTTATTTGTTTCATACAAATCAGACAGTGGATCAGCACACACCTCAGTAGATAGATCATTATGGTGTCAAAAGATCCAGGAAACATCTCTCCAGAGTGGGGCATAACCTGTGGGCACATGGGAAGGATGTGGCTGGGAGTATTCATTTGGTATGCAAGAGGGACTTTAAAATGTGTTTCAGCTTTACTAGTGGGCAAAATGCTGTCCTAAATACGCATCCATTTAAATCAGTATCTAGACTGGTGGTAAGTTTGGATATCTTCTATAGGTTTCTGTCTCTCTGGTTGTCATTACTAAAGAAGTGGGAAGTAGTCTTTCTTTATCACCACCACCAGTGAGCGATAGCTGGCACCATATGGTACCAAGTACAAATAGAAGATAATGGTTAGACATGAATATTTCATCAACTCATGAACATGAGTTTTGCCAGCTCACCCAATCTCTTTCTTTCTACTGGACGTTTGGTGAGCTTTCTTCTCTACAGTGAATGGGATTTTTAAACCATATAGCTCAGTCAGCAGCTCATATTAATCCTGTCTTGGCAAAAGAAAAGATTGTATAAATTGATCTCATGTACAGTACAGTGTTGTGCTACCTTTACTGAACCTTGTGTTAAGGGGCAAACATAACAAGATACGTGCAGAATTTATTATAGATATTAGAGAACCGATCTTTATTTTATCCTACCAGCATATAGTTATGTATTTTTAAACTATTATATATTTGTTCAGTCCCAGAAATCCTGGATTGAAGGTGTCTTCAGTAAAAGAGAATGTGCAAAAATTGTACCAAGTTCCAGAGATCCCCACAGGTATTTTTATTATTATTATCATTCAAAAATACCAGACACAATGAAAATTATGAAAACATTGGCTAGTATTATATAACAGATACAAGCTTTAACCCAAAAACCTAAGTATCTGTTAAATATCAACCCAGTATGTATGCTGTCCCTAATGTTGCCATTTTATTTTATCTCTGATGGTGTTATTTCTGAGATCTGTAACTGTTTACAATATTGTGTGATATTGTTCCCAAAGCCCCGATAACTACGGGGACCACTGAAGTGTTTCTTCCAGAGGCAAGATGGTTCAATTTTGTACTTTGTTAGTTTTTCCAATTCTTTATCTTCAACTCTGGTATCCCCTGGAATTGCAATGTCAATGATCCAGACTTTTCTTGCTTCTGTCATTGATGTGTTATGTTCAAGGTGTTTTATCAGTTTGGATGTGGAAATCCCACAGGAT